GTTTAAGGGCCCCATGTTTCAAGTCTCTTTCATCAGCTATAGAAAAACTTTTGTTAATGTGCCATCCGTTTGACGTGTCTGAACATCCTAGGAAATATATGTGAGGGACAACACAGGAATTACCATCAGTGAGGACGTGAGGAACGGTGAAGAAGTGAGGAGAAAGGATGAATGGGAAATTGATGAACTATGGGGGAAGGAGCAATGAGAAAGTTAGGAGTAATTAGGAAGTAATGAACAATGATTAAGTATCCAACTAACCACTTATTACTGTTTCGGGTATTTCAAAGACTAAGCAGGAGACAAACCCTCACCTTACGACAGAAGGACTATCAAATACCTGCTTAAGTTCTACTGCTGTGGGTTAAATGTCGCAAATTAATGGTATTTCCCTATTTCAAGAACCTTTAAAACACCAGTTTTTCTGGTTTGTTTGGTAGCCGGAGGTAAAGGATGGAACATCTCAGTGTTCCATTGCAGATTGTTATTGTTTTTGGCTTGTAAAATTTCAGTGTTTACAAACCATCCTCAAAGTTTTCGTATTTCCTTCTTAATCCAAGTACTATCTCTCATCTATTTATTCTCTTTCTTCACTCTTTAACTTCTTTTCACAAGTCTCCCACCACTTCCTTTCTTTTGCCTTCATTTCACCCATTACCAAAGACTCTCGCCCTCTCCCTTTCAGACGGTGACGAGGTCTGGATCGTCTGAGAGTCGTGTGGTGTGGGTGGCTCAGCCCGAGGACAACCAGAAAGGTCTTTCCTGTACAGCAACCAACCCTCGCAACCCTCACTACTACCTCTCCAACTATACCAGACTAGTTGTCTACCGTAAGTAACACTAACTTCAGTACACAAAGTTTGTCTTTCTAAACATCACTAATTACTTCGTAGCCTCACTAATTACTCCAAAGTCGTCATTTGTAGTAGGTAGTATGAAGTAGTTATAATATTGTAGTGAATGAGAGGCTGGAGTGCAAATTTGTCTGAAGTCAGTGTGTGGAGTTTAGTATTGTGCATGAAATGAATTAATGGAATGGAAAGGCTAGTTCAGAGAAGAAAAATGGTTAATGAGGTGGTTTATGCAGTAAGAATGAAGGAAGATTGTTTACTAGGGCGTATAAAAATGAGGGATAGATGGATTTACGTGCCAAGAGCGTCTCAGAAAGTTTTGAAGGAACTGGCATGAGCATCCAGTTGAGAAGTATTCTAAACTTTAAACCAATCATTTACGCATTTTCTGAGTCTTATACATATTTTATCACTAATAAGTTTCTCTCATTTTATATGTAACCTTTAAATGCATCCATTTTACAATAGTTTTTCCTCTCCCGCTCACTTTCTACAGACCCGCCCTTAGTGTCACTGTCGATCGGCAGTGGTTTAGACCCGTCATCAATTAAGGAGAATGTGGATGTTTACTTCACTTGTAGTGTCCACGCCAACCCTCCGGCAAGCAAGATCGTCTTTTTCCACGAGGTGAGCTCAACGATTTATTGGCATGGTGATACCAGCAAACTGTGGATAAGGATACTAACGTACAGTTCAGGACATTTGCTAAAGGAGACTTGTATCCTCAAGCGCTTCGTCAGTTCTAATGAAGTTGTGGAGACAAATCGCCCAAACTCATCTAGTGGTGTAAACAGACATGATTACAGAAAAGAGCTTCAGTGAAAAGTTTCGTCTGTGCAATGGGTTCTTAAATCAGTTGACCGAAGAAGCGTGTCTACGAGCGAAACGTCATAATGAAGTTCTTCTCTGTCATTGTTACATTTTCACCCATCCTCCTGAAGTCCTTTTGATTGATTGTAGTCACTCGTGGCGAAACGTTTCTTTTATCAGATTTCCTGAACTCTATATAAGTATCATTATCTACTACTTATATTACTAAATATAGAGGAATAAAGTGGAGGTGATTATTCAGATCTAATCCCAGAAAGAGTTGGACAACTCCAGTTTTTTAGGTTCAATAGCCTTTCACCAGAAGAGTGGATCCCCTTTTGAAGAGACGAGCTATCAACTACGTGGCTATTAATCGTCACACACATTTCATTATACATTCTGAACACTGATACACAACTAGTTAAATAGCATGTCTGTCTAACAAGGACCGGACGGCGGATCAAGCCTCCAAAAGCAAGCTGTTTGACCTTAATTAGCGAATGGTGTTTCTGTATTAAACTCTATCGGAGCTTATTCTAAGAGTTGATTAAGCTTTGTGTTTATGTGAAATGTCCTCTGTAAATAAAGAATGTAGATAAAAGTTTTTTTACACATTTTCAAATGTAAAAAAAAAGATGATGTACATTTTTTTACGTACTTTCAAATGTTGAAAAAACGTATATATACGTTTGGACCATTTAAGGGTTAATGGTAACTCTCTGCTTTCTATTGGTAAGCCATGCCTCTATCCATGCTAGAACTTTACCTCCTATACCATGAGCTGCCACTGTGAGGCTTTACTAAAATCCAAATAAACAATATCATATTCTTTATCACTGTCAACTGCCTCAAATGTTCTATTGAAGAACATCAGTAAATTTTTCAGGCAGGAACGGTGTGCCTTATTTCGCTCAGGCAGTATTTAGACCCGGTACTAACGTCTTTATTAGTACTACATTTTACCCACTAGTGGGCTTTATTAGTTACACAAAACAATAAAAAAAAACGCAGATTACATTTGTAATTGATGAAATCCCTGTGGAAGAAACGTCTTACCAAAATGCCATAAACCACATACTGCATCTAATTCACGTGTAATTTTTCAATTTTTTTCGTACTCGATCAGATTCACTCGTGGGTGTTGCTATACCAACATATATCCCATTGCATTAGCTGTCTGTTTACTGCCTGTCAACGTTACACCTTTCTTCGGTATACAACGTCGTGTGTGTGTGTGTGATTTGGGTTTTGCAGGGGATGGAGGTGGTACAAGACCGCAGAGCAGAAGGTGGGGTGCTGGTGACTGGGAACTCATTAGTGCTGCAGAAGGTGCAGAGGGAAGGCAGTGGTCGCTACTCGTGTCGAGCCAGCAACAACAGAGGCTCTCATACTAGCAACTTCGTCCGCCTCGATGTTCTCTGTGAGTTGCATTTCATCATGATATATATGTATCATATAGGTAGATAGATTGATATGCATATGTATAATCCAAGAAAACAAATGAATCTTTACGTACAGATAAGTCTTAGACGGCAGATGACATAACTTCACTGTCTTTGATCTGTTTCCAATCATTCACATTTCTGCATCAACCTCAGATGAGCCGCGGTGTGTGGTGGAAAGCCAGATTGTGACGGTGACACCCGGGGAAAATGCTACTGTGGAGTGTAATGTTGATGCCTTCCCACCCCCACACCGCTTCTCCTGGTCACTCAACACCACCAAGGGTCTCCAAGTCGTGCCCAAGGAGGAGGTGAGGTCACAAGCCTTTTTTTTTTTTTTTTTTTTTTTTTTTTTTTTTTTTACATCGTGTTAGGTAAATGGACACAGATGCGGCTATTGTGGCATTTTACTTTGGCAACGTTTCGCTCTTCAGGAGCTTAGCAAATTATTATAATCAAAACTAAGCGCTAAACCAACAACGGTGGAGCTTTGCTTAGCTGTTACAAACATTTGAAGAACACAGGCTTTATATATATATATATATATATATATATATATATATATATATATATATATATATATATATATATATATATATATATATATATATATATATATATATATGTCGTGCCGAATAGGCAGAACTTGCCATCTAGGCTTAAATAGCAACGCTCATCTTGCCATATAGTACAAGCGAAAATTTGTGTATGCAATAATTTCGCCAAAATCATTCTTAACCTAATGAAAAAAATATATTTCACTGTGTTTGTACAGTATTAAATTACTGTAAACAAATCTAAAATATATTTAGTTGGGTTAGGCTAAAATAAACTGTTCTTGTTACATTAAGGTTAGGTAAGTTTTCTAAGATTCTTCTGGAGCAAAATTAAAAAATTTTACATTAAAATTAATGAAAAAAATATATCTTTAAACGTATAAGAGAAAATTTAAAAAGAACTTAATTTTTAAATGGTTCTTGTTTATTTTTTTTTTTTTTGTTTTTTTTTTTTTTTTTTGTTTTTTTTAAATATTTGGGATACGGGGCGGGGTGGGTTTGAAAGAGAGTGACTGAAGGGGGAAAAGAGTGAGGGGTAATGGAGCTTAACAAAGCTTTTTTGGACAAAGAGGGGAAGTATGAAGAATTTTCCAACCTTTTTTTTTTTTGAACTTTTGGGGTAAATGTTCACGGGGAGGGCTGGGCGTGGAGTGCTTCGAGGAAAATTTTTAATAAATGCGAAACAAAGTTGGAGAGGTGCGGGTTCCCAAAACTTTGAACAAAGGGTTTTGGGGTTTTTAAAAGAAATTTAAAAAAATATTAAATTATATTTAAAAAAAAGGGGTGCCTAGGAATTTGGAAGGGGGGGGTAAAGAGGTTTTTTGCATTGGACCCAGGGGGATGGTGAGCTTTTGATAATAAGGGAAAAAATTTTTTTTTTAATATTAATTATGTACAAAAAAAATTTAAGGGGTTGGGGAACCCCCACCGCTTGTCCTTAGGGAAGTAAGTCCTGACTCGGGGATTTAATTTCATTAAAAAATTATGAAAATTTCTAAACGTTGGGGGAAGTTTTGAAAGTTTTTTTTTTCCCCCCGCCTTTGGGGGGAAGCCTTTTAAATAAAAAAATAATAATATATATTATAATTTATATATATATATATAAAATATTATATATATATATTATTAGAAGAGAGAGAGAGAGAAAAGAGGAGAGAGAAGAGATTATCCCCGGGGACAAAAATCTTCACTCAAGACTTCCACACGCCTTTGTGTGTCACAAAAATATGAAACAAGGGGAAATAAAGGGAATTTTTTCCTTTAAAAAGGTAGCTGGTACCCCCAAACCAGTTCCCCCTCAAAAATTCGAACAAGGTCATTCGAAAAACCCCCAAAAACTTTTTTAATTTTTAAAATTATTTTTTTATTTCTTGCGGGAGAGCTATACCCGTAGGGACTATACAGCACCTTGGGGAATGAAAGGCAATCAAATTCGATCAAACGAAAAGGAGGAACCTCTTCTGAATGGTGACGCTACATATACATAGCTTGGAAGCTGACAAAAAAAATTAACTCACGTCGTACGTACCGCAAAATCAATTTTAGCCAAGTCAATGTAATCCCAGAGTATCAACCACTTCGCCCATTCGGAATCCAACGCTGTGAGAATTGAAGATTCATAGGATTCGCATTTCGAATCACGCCTTGGAAATTCAATCATAAACATTTTGTTGGTTAGGGGTGGAAAAAGAAAGACGATATTATTAAAACAGAGGGGCCCTGCATACACACTATATTTCAATAATAAAATATATAATATATATATTAAAATATATAAAAAATTATATAAATATAAAATATATATTAAAAAAAATTTTTTATATTAAAATATAATAGTCCCTTTTTATAAAGGAAGGGGAACAAAGAGATTTAAAATATTGAGGAAAAAGTTTTCTGATATACCAGGAAAAGTGTACGGTAGGGTTTTTAGAAAGAATTAAGGTAAACGAATGTAGAATTTTCGGATGGCAAGGAGGGTTCAGAGTGGGGTGGGGTTGTAGATAAGTGTTTACATTGAAGCATATATGTGAACAGTATTTAGATAAAGGTAGGAATTTTTTTTTGCTTTTTGGAATTAGAAAAGGGATGTGATAGAGGGATAGAGGGGAAAAGTGGAGATGTTTTCAAGTTTGGAATAAAGGAAAATTACTAAAGCGTAAAGAGTTTTTATGAGGATGTGAGGCTCAAATTAGGGGTGTGTAGAAAGAGGGGGATTACTTCCCGGTAAAAGTAGATCTTAGAAAGGGGTGTGTAAGCCACCAGGTTGTTTTTAATTTAAGATGGGGTGTCCGGGAGAGGGGGGGGGATTAAATTAGGGGAATTTTAAAAACAAAAAGGGAAGAAAAAGAACAAAGAAAAGGGGAAAACTGCAGCAGGCCTTTGGCCCTACAGGCAGGTTTTCAATTTCTCACAAAAAAACATTTTGCCCCCAATTTTTCAAAGCAAAACCCAAAAATAAGCTGCTCTGAGTGCAAAGTCCCCCCCCCCCCAAATCCATCCCTTCCCACTCATGTACTTTTTTCCAACCTAAATTTGAAACTACCCAAAATCCCCGCCCCAATCACCCAACTAGGTAGACACAGGAATGACACAGTTTTCTTTTTTCTGATGGGAAAATTGCAAAGGGTTTGTGGACGAATTTGGGGGTGTGTGTAAAGGTAAAAGTTGAAGTGAAATGAAAAAATAAATGATGAGAGTTTTTTTAAAAAAATTATTCAAATTGAAGAGGAGAAGTATGGAAGAAGTGAATGTTTTCAGATATTTGGGAGTTGACGTGTCAGCGGATGGATTTATGAATGATGAGGTTAATCATAGAATTGATGAAGGAAAAAAGGTTGAAGGGAGGGGTTAAAGGAGGTTTTGTGTGCGAGGGGCTTGGACTTCCAGCAAGCGTGCATGACCGTATATGATAGGAGTGAATGGAGACAAATGGTTTTTAATACTTGACGTGCTGTTGGAGTGTGAGCAAAGTAACATTTATGAAGGGATTCATGGAAACCGGCAGGGCGGACTTGAGTCCTGGAGACGGGAAGTAGTGTCTTCACTCTGAAGGAGGGGTGTAAATGTTACAGTTTTACAACTGTAGTGTAAAGCACCCATTTGGCAAGACAGTGATGGAGTGGATGATGATGAATGTTTTTCTTTTGCGGGCCATCCTGCCTTGGTGGGAATCTGCCGTATGTTAATAAAAAAAAATATTTATCAATAACAACACTGCGACTAGCCGAGGATTCTAACCCATGTCATAAGAACATAAGAACATAAGAACATAAGAAAGGAGGAACACTGCAGGAGGCCTGTTGGCCCATACTAGGCAGGTCCTTTACAATTCATCCCACTAACAAAACATTTGTCCAACTCAATTTTCAATGCCACCCAAGAAATAAGCTCTGATGTGAAAGTCCCACTCAAATCCAGCCCCTCCCACTCATGTACTTATCCAACCTAAATTTGAAACTACCCAAAGTCCTAGCCTCAATAACCCAACTAGGTAGACTGTTCCACTCATCAACTACCCTATTTCCAAACCAATACTTTCCTATGTCCTTTCTAAATCTAAACTTATCTAATTTAAATCCATTACTGCGGGTTCAATCTTGGAGAGATATCCTCAAGACCTTATTAATATCTCCCTTATTAATACCTATCTTCCACTTATACACTTCGATCAGGTCTCCCCTCATTCTTCGTCTAACAAGTCAATGTAACTTAAGAGTTTTCAATCTTTCTTCATAAGGAAGATTTCTAATGCTATGTATAAATTTACTCATCCTACGCTGAATGTTTTCTAACGAATTTATGTCCATTCTGTAATATGGAGACCAGAATTGAGCTGCATAATCTAAGTGAGGCCTTACTAATGATGTATAAAGCTGCAGTATGACCTCTGGACTTCTGTTGCTTACACTTCTTGATATAAATCCCAGTAATCTATTTGCCTTATTACGTACGCTTAGGCATTGCTGTCTTGGTTTAAGGTTGCTGCTTACCATAACCCCCAAGTCCTTTTCGCAATCTGTATGGCTAAGTTCTACATTATTTAACTTATAAGTGCTAGGGTTATGGACACTCCCGAGCTTCAGAACCTTGCATTTATCTATATTGAACTGCATCTGCCACTTTTCTGACCAAGAATAGAGTTTGTCTAAATCCTCCTGAAGTTCCCTAACATCTACGTTTGAATCAATTATCCTACCTATCTTTGTGTCATCGGCGAATTTGCTCATATCACTAGTAATTCCTTCATCAAGATCATTGATATATATTATAAACAACAACGGGCCCAAGACTGATCCCTGTGGAACGCCACTTCTTACTGATCCCTACTCGGATTTAACCCCATTTATGGGCACTCTCTGCTTCCTGTCTGTGAGCCATGATTCGATCCACGAGAGCACCCTTTCCCCAATGCCATGAGCTGCTACTTTCTTCAACAGTCTTTGGTGCGGAACTCTATCATATGCCTTACTAAAATCTAAGTAAATAATATCAAATTCTTTATCGTGGTCAACAGCCTCAAAAGCTTTACTGAAGAAAGTTAATAAATTAGTTAGACTAGACCGGCCTCTTGTGAATCCATGTTGAGTATCATTAATCAAACTATGCTAATCGAGATGGCTTCTTATAATCTCACCTATAATTGACTCTAGTAATTTGCCTACAATTGAGGTCAGGCTTATTGGGCAGTAATTTGACGGTAACGACTTGTCCCCTGTTTTAAAAATAGGAATTACATTAGCCATCTTCCACATATCATACACTACACCTGTTTGAAGAGATAAATTAAAAATATTAGTTAATGGTTCACAGACTTCCATTTTGCATTCCTTAAGAACCCATGAAAAAACCTCATCAGGACCTGGTGACTTATTTTGCTTCAGTCGGTCTATCTGCTTCACAACCATTTCACTAGTGACTGTGATGTTACATAATTTATCTTCTTCTGGCCCACTATAAAAATGAATTACCGGAATATTATTAGTGTCTTCCTGTGTAAAAACCGAGAGAAAATAATTATTTAAAATCGAGCACATTTCATTCTCTTCGTCAGTAAGATGCCCACAGTTATTTTTAAGGAAATAAATGGTATAAAATACCGACACAATGGCAATATAAACACAAATGCAGTATAATGTGATCCTTTATTGACTACGTTTCGCCCACACAGTGGGCTTTTTCAAGTCACAAACAGAACTACCTGGGGTGTAAGGAACGCGAGTATTTATAGTCCGGCTGAGGTCAGGTGAAGAATGCTGCATCTGATGATTCCAGTTGTTGTAGAGTCCCTAAAAACTTGGGTAGCTTGGAAAGGAGACTGGACAAGTTTGTGAGCAGACCTTCTACAGTGTTCTTATGTGGGATAGCGAACACTGTAGAAGGTCTGCTCACAAACTTGTCCAGTCTCCTTTCCAAGCTACCCAAGTTTTTAGACTCTACAACCCAACTCGGTACATCATCAGATGCAGCATTCTTCACCTGACCTCAGCCGGACTATAAATACTCGCGTTCCTTACACCCCAGGTAGTTCTGTTTGTGACTTGAAAAAGCCCACTGTGTGGGCGAAACGTAGTCAATAAAGGATCACATTATACTGCATTTGTGTTTATATTGCCAGTTATTTTTAAGGGGACCTATCTTATCTCTGACTTTTGTTCTATATACTTGGAAAAAACTTTTTGGGTTAGTTTTAGAATCCCTAGCAACTTTAATTTCATAGTCCCTTTTAGCTTTTCTTATCCCCTTTTTAATGTCCCTCTTAATGTCAATATACTGATTCATAAGATGACCCTCGCCTCTTTTGATACGCCTATAAATTCCTTTCTTATGCCCTAGTAGATATTTCAGCCTATTATTCATCCATTTTGGGTCACTTCTATTTGATCTAATTTCTTTATAGGGGATAAACGTTCTTTGAGCAGCATGTATAGTGTTCAGAAAACTGTCATATTGATAGCTCTCTTCGTTACCCCAGTCAACAGATGATAAGTGTTCTCTAAGCCCATCGTAATCTGCTAAGCAAAAAATCTGGGACTGTTACTGAGTTATCCCTACTATCATACTTCCATTCAATGCTAAATGTAATTGATTTGTGGTCGCTAGCACGCAGTTCCTCTGAAACTTCTAAATTATTAACAAGGGATTCATTGTTTGCCAGAACTAAGTCAAGCAGGTTATTACCCCTTGTAGGTTCTGTCACAAACTGCTTCAAAAAACAATCCTGAACTACTTCTAAGAAGTCGTATGATTCTAAATTCCCAGTCAAGAGATTCCAATCAATATGACTAAAGTTAAAGTCTCCTAGAATTACTACATTATCGTGCCTTGTGGCCCTAACAATTTC